ACCTTCCTTATGGATGGTTAAAGAGGATGGGGATTGGATAATATTAGAGGCTGCAAATGTAACCGAGACCAACGGCTTAACGTGCCTTGTGAATCACGGAGTAGCTCAAGATAATAATTTTTGGTCACCCATCCCATGACCGACCCTTGCGCATGTTACTTAAAAACAACAATCGCGCAACAACCTTAACCACTGCCAGCGAGCTACTGTTATGCCAATTATCTTATTCATTTCTTGTTAACTTGAAACAAAAAGGAATAGTATTTCATACTTTTCTATTTATCTAACCGACGGACTAAATAGAAATTTTTATTTTTCCTCAATCAGGCATCATCACTTTTCGTTGGGTAATTAATTATAGATTTTAATGAACATAATGTAAGTGTTGTTTAGATACTACTATTAATCTTATTTAGGACTACAGAGTTTATTTTTGTACATTCAACAGCATATCAACTTATAAAAATATATCAAATGTCAAAATCAACTATAGAAGTTGTCCTGATATTTTATAGTATAAAATATATAAGTCGATGGACACACAAGTATCAAAGACATTAATTCTTAATTAAACATAATACCTATACCCAACACCACGGTAAAAAAAAAAAAGTTGTTCAAATAAAGTTCATTACACACGGAAATGAAGTGATATTACCGAGATTTGTTTTATCGATAAGGGTCTCAAGTATTTAGGTCAAACAAACGACCGAGTTATATATCACTATTAAAAGGTGTTGCCCTTATAAAAAAGTAACAAAAATAAATTATATCAATAAATAAATGTTTTATTTTATTTATTAGATAAACTGAATTAAGAGGCCGCTGACGTTAAAAATCACTAACATGCAACTGGTTTAATATAAATAAATAACGCCCAAATAAAATGCTATTAACGTTTGAGATGAGCTTAATTTTAAATTCTCAATTCAGAAATCGAGTGTCAGAATATTGTACAGCTAAAATGTGAATATATAATGGTATGGTATGGTATTAACGACTGCAAATGCAGCCGGGACCAACGGCTTAACGTGCCTTCGAAGCACGGAGTAGCTCGAGATAATAATTTTTTGGTCACCCATCCTGTGACCGACCCTTGTGAAAGCTGCTTTACGACTACGATCACGGGCCGCGGCGCTAATCCACTACGCCATCGAGTTATTAATATATACTAATATATACACCATAAAAAAAATATGAAGTTAAAAAATCAAATTATTTTCGTCTTTTGATGTAATTATGCCCTTATTTATTAGAAAATAATTATCAATATGTGAGATACTTTGTAGCCGAGGGAATTATGCAGCACTGTTACAATAATCATAATAGTTTGCAAGAAATTCATTGAAAACCGTTTTTGAGCCGCAATTCGCTATTTATTTCATTGCCGTGCGGAATTATTCATATTAGATTTATCTCGTCTTTATAAGTTTTTTTTCAATATACACGACAGGTTTATAAATATTTCTATGTATTCAAAATAAACCTAAACACTTGAATTCAAAGCGCTATTTCAAGTTCACTTCTATAAAATCTTACGTAATATTGCAACAATGTTTCTTATTAACACTACACCTATTATAAAACTCTTATTGCTCGCGTGTACTTTGATAATTTTTAATTTATGACATAGGTATACAGTTGCATAACTTAATAAACATATGAATATGGTGGCATAAAATAACAACATTGTTTTAACTATTTCGCGTCAAACAAATAAAGCAGTTTTATTTTAAAATGGTTATTCTAATAGATTTTTATTCGTTTAATAATCAGTGGTCGGAATTAGGTGGAGTTATTCATGTACTTACACTGATTTCATACAGCGAAAGAATAATGTAGATATGTCTCAAATCCCGAGATTAATTTTAAACAGCAGAAAAAATCCCTTGATTTTTTAAATAAAAAGTTATTTACTTTTACACAATTTAAACTACTGCACGCACGACGTTGCCAAACTTACATCAATGACATCGGATGTCCAAAGATGTCCAAGATTGTCCATTAGAAATCCCGGGAAGGTCCATATTAATATCAACATTTCGATGCAAATACATAAATAACTCTACCTAATACCGACCTCTGCTAATAATACTGTATAACTCTACTAATTCTACAATCCTTTTACTTACAACTTACAAGAAAATCAACAGACCAGCTAAAAAGATTAAAGAGACAGATAGGTTTTGCGCATAAACAAAGAGCAAAAAACTCAGTAATTAAAAAAATATATATATGAATATTGTAAAACGTGTCAATCACACAATTTGGTTACTACACATTTATTAATTTTTCACTGTAAGAAAGAATTACCATATCATAGCTAAATGTGAATTTCTTTTCAAAACTATTTAAGAGAATAATTCGTTATAATTAAAAGATAGAATTTGCCGAGTAACCCTGGAAAACCGCCATCGTAATAAAGAAAGTAAGTCAATTGACCTGATATATGTCCGCTTTAAACACTGCCATACTCCGTTGGTTCAGAAATGGAGAAGCCGTATAAAATAATAACAAAAATAATATCAACACGAAAGTGGAAGGAAGGGATTACCTCAGATTTTTATAAACTTTAACTACTTACTTAGAGATCTGAGCCACGTATGTGCTGTTATCTAATAATATAATAAAAAATTTGAAATTAAAAATTTTTGGACACCCTCTTCAAATCCACTACAAGGTTTTGATATAGGACAGTGTGTGACGGGTTCGGTGCTTGGGTCAATTAATAAGACTGACTAGCTTGAGTATGGATTTATTAATTGTATAAATGGTAAAATAAAGAAACTTACCTAAATATAAAACAGTTCGTATCTTAACTAAATATAAAATTTAAAATTACCAAATAAACGAATACATAAATTTTTGGGTTTCTTGTTAAAAACTTGGATCGTCTAAGTTACAGATTACAATTCCCTATGTTATAATTTCTATCACAACTATACTCATTCTTTCTCAACCATTATCAAAAATTATTTTAAAATTTTATATTAAAATTTATATGATTTAATACGATAATATGTTGATTTAAATGGTATTCACAGATGATTTTTTTACGAACTGAAATCCATAAAGACTATATTTAATTAGTCAAAATTTTAAATTATGAAAGATGAATAATAAAAAGAAATGATGTAGAATATAAAAAGACAAAAAGTTTACATGCTGAAACCTAGGGAAATAAACAATAAGTAATTACAAATTATTAACCTATCTAGCGTATGACCTATAAATTTGGCAACACCATCAATCACTCGCGAGGCCTGATCAATCGATTCTTGTATCGCGTAATTGCAATTTTCTCATTCGTTTCCGTAATCGCGTTTTTTGTAAAACGCAAGTCACCTCCCGTTGAAAAGACTCCGTACAATGGGCGACGTTCATATCCGGTACGACTGGCGCCAGATAAAAAAGAACAACATTAAAAAAAACATTTAAAAGGATCTGGAAAATCTGAATGAATCTGAAAAATAATATTTATAGAAATAAAAGCTGATAACTTTATTTCATAAATAAGACTCGTATATCACTTCACTTACACTATCACTATCACTTACATTTTGTGTACCCTGATTTTCTTAATATTAAGACTTTCTTACTGTCAGCGGCTTCGCTAGCAAGGTTAACACGATGTTTTCACAGTATATATATATATATATATACATATATATATATATATATATATATATATTCCTAGGCCCATATGATGGGGTAAAAAGTAGCATATATGTTAATTAACGCTTAGATACTATTTTTAAGCAGCTTTCGCGATGGCCTGTCGTAGGATGAATGACCAAAAATTTATTATATCGAGCTCCTACGTGCTTCGGATGGCACGTTAAGCCGTTGGTCCCGTCTTTATCTGCAGTCGTTAACACTCAAATCCTCACTGGGTCCGCGTGCTGGATCATGGCCCGTACCCCCTATATCCATAGGGAAGGCTTGTTGAGCCCCTAGCAGTGGGATAGCTAATAGACTTATGATGAGTATATCTGCGGGTATAACATAGGTCATCTCCAATCTTCTATTTGAAGCTAATACCGACTCTTTACAACTATGTTTTTCTAGCGGTAACTGTAACTCATTATTTCTATTATATCTATATAAATAGTGGTTTTCTTCTTCCGTGTTCCAACCGAGCATCTTAGTGTGTATTACTTTTTAAGTTAAGTAGCGCCGTAAAAGTGGCGGAGTTCTGGGCCAGTGACATTTAGTTTTGGGTGCCATTGACACGAAAGAAGAAGAAGAAGTAAAGAAAGATAAGAGGCTGGAAATTGGCGTAGGCTATTGTTATGACCATTCTGACAAAGCCATACCATCTAGTAGAATATAAAACATTAAAAATTTTGTTTTTATTTCTGCCGACAGTGTTTTGCCCACTGCGAAGAAAAAGAAGGAGTCTTCATTCGCTATATTAGCAGAGACACCTGTCGCGTCTCGACCTACGAGCCCAAGATCACTGCCAGTTGAAATCAGATCCGACAGACGATCCCATTTTAAAGGTAATTGAATACTTTATTAAAACCAAAGATATTAAAAGTTTTGATACAAATAAAAGAATTTAAGAACTATTTATCTTGAAATTATAAAAAGACAATATTTGAAATTCTCACAGCAAACATTTGACAAAGTATTGTTTACAAAACACTTTTTCGGTTTTGTCCTCAAAAATACCTCATATTTAAAGTTCATTTATTTGTGTATCGTGTCCTTATTTCATCTTAGTACATATGTACCAATTTAAAATTCTATCGATTCAATAGTTTCGGAGCAAATTAGCTATGACAGACGTGAGGACAAAAAAAACAGAGACATGAAAATAATAATAATAATAATAATAATAATAATGAATGAGTTATAACATATTTATTATTTTCATTCAAGGTCGTGGCTTCAGAGAGGAAACTTCCCGACACAACACGCCTAGGACATCCGCAGCAAACTCACGAGCCAGCTCACCTCCAAGGAGAAGAACAAGTTCCTTATCTAAAATCGACAAAATGGCACAAGCTGCTGCCCTCCCACCACCAATTCACAATATAAGCAGACCCCATTCACCACGGAATTTTGTAAAAGAAAACATAGAAGAAGTCAGAGAACTGAGCGAGCTAAATAGGGAAAAACATGAGGCAGAAGCAGAAAAAAAAAGGGTAGAGGAAGAAGTAGCTCTCTTGAAAGAAATGGGTTTGTTGGATAAGAATGCAAAAAGTGATGTAATCAAAAGTGTGGTTGGTTCGAGAACAACATCCAGGAGTAACTCACCAACCAAAACCAAATTTAGATCTAGATCGAATTCGCCTGCCGCAATATTACATTACGAAAACATACCAGCTGGCAGTAAAGAGTTCATAAATGTTAACGATGAAGTTTCCAAACCAGTCACACATAGATCTCGATTAAGGTCTGTATCAAGATCGCAACCCCAGTCAAATGAAGGGTCTCCAAAACATTCTAAAATACCTAAACGCCAAAGTTCAGTCTCACCAGCTAGAATAGGTAATAGAAGGGAGAATTCAATCTCTAGAAGGCCGGTCGAAAACGGTTTGAAGAATCAAAGATTTATTTCAAATAGTACAAGTAGTATACATGAAACTATCAAAGTTGGCAGTCAAGTACACGATAAAAGAAACATGAGTAAGAGTGCACAATTTTTAAATATTTCTCCAGCTCATATTAAAGGAAAACCTCCAATCTCCCCAGGAAAAGGTGGTCCACCTCCAACAAATAAGACCATAAATTCCAAAAGACTATCGCCTATTGTGGGTACTCCAAATAAAAGTCCAATCGAAGATTTGAAACCCAGCTCGGCCAAAAGACCAACAACAAATCCATCACCTGCTGCTAGAAAGCCCGTTAAAACTGCTGGTAATACGCCTGCTACTTCTAGATTGAATTCTAGACAGCCTAGCAGAACTGTTAGTAGAGATACTAGCCCTGAGAAACGTAAATCTACTGCCAAGCCCTCTGTTTCTTCTAAAACTACAAAACCTACATCGAGTAAACCTGTTACTAGAACTCCTAGCACAAAAGTTATGCAAAAACCGCCTACACCTAATAATAAAATTGAGCCAAAACCACCGATTAATCGCACAAACAGTATGAAAAGTTTAGTAAGAACACCAAGTACCAAAAATTTGTACAACAAGCCCCCGCTAGTGAAGAAAAGCAGTAAAAAAGATTTAACTGAAAAAGCGAAATCTACTAGCAAAATAGATGAAATAGGAACGAAAAAAGATATCTCAAAAGAAGAAAGAAAATCTCAAAAATCAGCAAAAGATAAAACTAAAGATCAAAAAGAAGAAATTAAGAAAACTGATTCAAAAACAAGTGTAGACTCGGGAACGGATACAGAAGAAGTAATTAAACAGGATAATGAAACTCAATACGATAAAGTCACTAATGAAAAAGGTGAATTAGTAATACTTACAAAAAAGAATATTGTTTCGATGACAACAGCTGCTATAACCTCTCAGCCTCTGGAAGTAGTAACAAAAGTTACGAATCAACTACCAGCTGCCTTAGAAAAAGCTAGAGAAAAGGGTATATTTGAAAGACTGAGTTCTAAAGAGTCTTTGATGCCTAAGGATGATGAGAAGGATAATGTATCTACAACAGAATCTGAAATGACTGAAGCTATAAAAAATATAGAAGTAAAAGTTGACATAGAAGAAACAAAAAAACTAGAAGAGGAAGAGAAAAAACCAACAAAAGTAGAAGAGAAGAAACCAGTTTCCAAGCCAAAAGAAAATAGTTCAATTATTATGGAAGAAAATATAAAGCTCAAACCTCTACAACCACCATACAATAATCCCCAAGTTGAAAGAGTAAAACAGAAAATAGATGAGGTATTAAAATCACCAGAAGTGTCTACCGAAAACATATTAGCCCCTCCAATTAAACTAACAAAGGAAACAAAAAACACATTCAAAAGTATAGCCCATAAAACGAAAACTGATGTAAAAGAATCCAAAGACCAAGTGGCTAAGAAGTTAACTGATATAAAAGATCAGGTTGTCAAGCAGAATGATAAATTAACAGCAGAAATGCGTTCGGAAGCAACTAAGATCATCGATAGTATTTTAACACCAGTTGAAGAGCCAAAGAAAATTGAAGAAAAGATAAAAGAAGAAGGGAAGAAAGAGGTAGAACCAATTCTCATGGTAGTGAAAGAAAAGAACAATGGGCCTGCTGTGATCACGGAAAAGATGACAGAGACTTTAGTGAAAGGTGAGCCAGATGTGGAAGTACAAAGCTCCAACGTGTCAACGCCGGGAAATACTGTAATATCTCCACCAAAAAAAATGACCGAAGGAAATGATTCGGACAAATCTACGCACAGCAACGGCGGGTAAGTAATAAATTATAATAATTCTTATTTCCAAAAAGGACTTGCTCTATTACATTAATTTACAAACACATTAAACATGCACGATTATCTGCAAAGTTTCTCAGAAAGATAGATAAAGTTAATCATTAAATATTATAATAGAAAAGAAAATAATTTTATTTGTTTGAAGAGTATTACGATGAATTCTATGATAAATAGGAAATTTTGCTTGTAGTGTTCTTGCTCAATATAAAGTATAAGGTAATTGTTAAAAAAACAAAACATAGAATAATATTACAATTGCAATCCTGGCTGTGAACTGACATTACATTTTAATTCAATACATTTCCAATTAGTTTTTTGTCTAACAAGACATACTATGTAACATTATTTTATTATTACCTTACTATGGACAAATTGACATGATGGACGGTAGCACCATATTCTGGAAATTACTGTGAAGCCATTTTTTGCATAAATGCTAACCCACAACAGACAAGTCATTGTGGTTTCTTCGAATTCTTTAATTATCTAATTCAGTTATTTTCAACAAAAATGTATCATGATGCTATTATCTATTATCGTGTTGATTGTTATCTGTGAAATTCTGTTGATAAGAGATCCTATCAGCAGAATTTCTGTACAGAAAGGTATAACTAAACAATGTTATAATTAAATATATATATATATATATATATACTACGAGTTCCTCCCCCTTATTCTATAACTCCAGCAACAACAACAGATTAAAATTGTTCACAGAGCTCTGTGGGCAAGCCGTCATTGCGCGGTTTTTTTTTAATTCTGTGACTCCTAATTTTTAATAAATCACACACAGTTGCTATATTTTTTTTTTATTTAGATGAAATCACGTACGTACCTATGCATTAAATACCAAAAACTTATCCATTTGCTATTTTCATTACCCTGATTGGTAAAACCTATATGTATGTATATACTAACAAAACAAGCAATAGAGTTTACAGTATGTAACAAAAAGAAAGCGTGTGGTAATCCCGTAGAGAAAACTACTTTCCCTTCTCGCGTTAACCCATTGGAATCACTGCAATACCCTGGAGTGTGTTGCGGTTAGAATTGTAAATGATTACCACCTGCATCTGATTATATTGTATATAATAACTGCTTTTTTTAAGCGTGCAAAAGTGAAAATTTTTACAAGGATATAAAACTATTACTTTCGTTAATGCAGGTCAAATCTAGCTTCCAGGTTCTCGATTGGGCTGAAATTTGGCGTGCATATTTGAATAAAAAATTGATTTAGAATGTAACTGATTTATTGATTGTACCGCGAGGCAGTCACTGGACGTCTATAATTAAACAAGAATCTCATTCAGTTTGGCTCGTTTAATTTAATCAGAAAGCAGCTCCATCTAGCTTGGTCTGGGGTTCCAAGATAATATCCGACAAATGCTTATATTACTTATAATAAACCGAGTAATTTTCAAACGAAATTTTACGAAAATAGGATACGGGTTCTAAACAAATATTTCACTTGAGGCTGTCACACACACATTATTAAGGCTGCCACACACACAGCTCAGCCCCCTTATTCTGTAACTCTGGAAAGTTCAGAGGACTTCCGAAATAAATTATTCACAGAGCTCTGTGGGCACTGTGAATCGCGCGGTTTTTGGTTTTCTGCAACTAAATTTTAATAAATAACTAATTGCTATATCAATTTTTTTTATTTAGATGAAAACACATATTGATGTTCAGTTTCGTGATCACTTATGCTTACAGAAATCTATACAAGATCAAGTGTCAAAAAAGAGTTCAGTAGAGATTACCGATATTGACATTTGAAAATTGCGAACCATTTATAAAAAATACGAATAAATGATTTTGGCACATTGGAGTTGCTCACTTTTTTCGGTGATTAATATTTTAGATTGTCAGTAAGCGAATAGGCCTGCAGATTATTGTCACGAATTTTCCAAAATACATATTATTAGGCGGATTTGATATCTTGTGTTAGGTAATTAATTTTCTTTTTGATTTCGACGTCTGCAAAGACGACGACGCTTTAGATAAGAAGCCTGCACAAACCTCCACCAAAATTAAGGATTCTGCTAAATATATCCCTGCTTACAATAAGAAAGTGTTACCAAATTACAGTCATTTAATAAGTAGAGCTAAAATTTATTTACTTATTAAAAACTAGCTGATTATATCTTAAATTATATATTAATTATATCTTTTCATAAGTTTTCTTATATCCATTTTTATATTATCCTGACAATAAGGAACACATAAAAAAAGAATCATTCAATTTGGTGCAGTCATTTAGAAGTTATGAACGTTCATACATTTTGGCGATTCATTTTTATATATATACGATAGATACCAAAATTTTTCGTTTTAAAAAATAAATGAAACTATCTCGGTCATTACTGACTTTTTAATATATCTTCAGCGATATACACTCTAACCGATCGACAGTTCACATAGAGACACTGAAATGTTTCTTAAAACTTTTCTAAAAATGCTCTACGTATTTTTATTTCTATTTATAATTTGCTTTGTTCTGTTTCGATTGCTCCTTTTAAATTTCTCCTTCGAGCTAAACATAAATCTTCATCACATTGGATTATTATCATTTATTAACTAATTACGTCCAAATATGTACGTGCAAAGGTAAATAAGAAAAAATAGTTAGTATTGGAAAATAAAATCAGGAAAATAAAATCATATCAGTCTTCTATCTCTCTTTTGTAACCTTTGTGGGATGATTCTAGGACAAAATCCATTCTATATCTTAATTGGTTCAGTGGTTTAAGAGCGTATAAAACTCAAAGAATTGCTTTCCCACATATAATATTACTCAGAAACCATATTATTTCTTAACACAAGCTTTTACTGCACAAAAATGAAGTTTTTAGACATTATCTTGAACCGGAGATCTTGTATATATATCTATAAATTGAACAAACTTCAACACGACAGTTCCCACAGCTGCTCAGTTCACTTACGAAACCCTGAATTATGCTTAGTTTAATTACTACTTTTATTTCCAGCTTCATCATCAGATCAGCTTCATGATATTTCATACAATTTTAATTGAGACTAAAATATAAATTATGGTGAACCTATTGTGTGAAAGCATGCTAATTATCTGGATAAAGTCTGGAAATCAGTTCTTTACTACGTGGTTAAAAGAATCGTTGAGCTTTTACCCTTTTGCTTCGCTACGGCGTACACGTCAATGCTTATTTTTATTTTTCATTGTACACGAATTTCGCGTTGTGACTGTTTTACTGTGATCATCACGTATTGTGAGCTAGTTTTCGCTCATCGAGCGGCTTCGGTCTTTTAGCGTAACATATTCATAAAAGTTTTGAGCTCGATGTAAAAATTAGATCAAAGGTTTACAAGGTTTGACCCACTATGACACGGAAAGTTGTATTTGCTAGTGAAAAATGGCAATATTATTATATAATACTAAGAAATAGGACTAGAAGGATACTCGGTCACACATTCCGCTAACAAGAAGTCAGAATAGCGTGCGTGATGAAACCTTCGTTTGCATTACCGCGATATGTCACTGGTAACATGAATGCTCCGTACTTACTGTTTAGTCAGCGATTTTTCTGCGACTTGTAGACTGGACATAAGTAAATATTTTAACGAAATTAATAAAACTGTATATATTTATTTACTACTTGTCCGACAACGGCTTTACCCGTGTGATCCCTAGGGAACTGTTTAGTGGGGAAAATAGTGCTCCAAATTTCAAATCCGTATACCAAATTTCATCAAAATTACTACATACTGTTATCAAAAATAATAAATATGTATTTTAATAAATGTCTCGATAAAAAAAAAACAAAGAGATTCTACTGAAAATATATTTCAAGTTCCTCTGTGAGAAAATGGATTTATTATGATAAAGGCGTTAAGGCGAGGTTTTTCGAAATTACCTCTTTTTAAACCAATTATATTATAAGGCTATTCTAATATTGGCCAAATAAAAATCATATTCTTAATGAAAAATGCTTAAAAAATCCACCAGCCCCAGGCACTCTAAGATGGGGCCCGAAGACACGACCTTTCGTCCGTTGCGAAAAGTCGTGGGTTCGTGTCCCATCTCAGTATAATATTATGAATGCAAAATTAATAAAATATAATAGGTAAATTAAAATTAAATCTATGGCCGAGTGTTAGCAAAAAAAAAAACAGAAATATAAATTTTAATAATTGTTTCCATAGAAAAAAGTCGCAAAGATGACTCTACATCGATTACACGACTAATATATTTCATCTTAACTATATAAAATAAAATATATACAAAAATTGGTTTTCATAGAATCTAAAATGACCAAAATAGTTTTTCATTTGTTTTTTTTTTCTGTGTATATAAATGTATGAAATAAATCGAGCGCGACATTACTCTCGATTCATATTTGTATGGAAACGTAAGCGGTACAAGAGGGCCTTAAGACATTTTTTTAAGTCTGTGTTTCTTCTTGTAATTCCGTTTTTTCTTACGACTATAACTAACAAAACAAAATTTCCCCCACATAATTTATAAATGGGAATGAACGGTGTCGTAAAATCTGGCCTTAATATATCGTATATATGTATAAATATCCTTGGTAAGATTAGAGTCCTTTGAGGCATGTGTAGTGGTCATATCCAAGGGGTAGCGTGACCGAACAACAAGTCAGGGCTGGCACGCAACCGGCCACTCGATACAGTGACCGCATGTGACTCCGTCCGTGATTCACCCCTCGCATAAACTTCCTTCGGCGATCTATATCTTGAACAAATAACAAACTTTGTGATACAGTCACCTACCCATTTAAAAACTTATTTTACAAATCGATAATATCATCATGCGGGGTACCGCCGATTTCTGTGGTTTATTTTAATTTGTCAATGAAATGAAATGCGAGCCTTGCAGATCGATACATTACTCATTAGACCAAACCTTTTTTCCATCAATTGTCTATTAAATTACTCGTGCTTATAAATCAAACTAGCTGTTTTCCCGCGACTTCGCCCGCG